ACCTCTGGATGGTTCCCAAGTAAACCTTGCTTATGTAACTTGGGTTAAATGAGTTGTCACATTACCCTGTGTGTCCAATTATGTAACGTCTCCTTGGTTCATTAGTTAATTCCTCGGTTACCGTAGCTCACTTGTCCTTTGCTACGTTCTCCAGAGAGGGTTTTATTAATGCAGTGAGTTGACTGAAAACGTAGAGAGCTCCACTGAATTCTCTAGCAGAAAGTGACTTTTTGAGCAAAGGTGATTATCTAGACTCTTAATCTGCCTTAGTTCCCACACTCCACTCACACTCATCTTTTTGGGCCCCAAACCGCTCAGATTTATTGCAGGCTGTGAGTCTTCATTTCTGGAAACTGTGGACCCATCTCTCTAAGAGATCGTGGAGATGGGCAGCTCCCAAATAAGCCTCTAAATTCTGTGAAACTGGTTTGCTCGTTAGTGACATTGTGTGTTCATTATTCTTTATCCTGTGAAACATTATTTTATTTTGCATTAGGAATAAAAATAACCGGTGAACTTGTTTTCCCTGTAGGTCAATAGTGGGGCGCAGATTCTTTTTTATCCTTGGAACTTTATACCTGTATCGCTGTATCACCATGTATGTCACTACTCTCCCCGTGCCCGGAATGCACTTCCAGTGTGCTCCGAAGGTAAGCGCTTCTGAGTTACCGTGTAGAAGAATCAAGAAAACAGTTACTGAGCAGCTACTCTCTGGAGTGCATTCTTCTAGACACTTCCATACGTGTTAACTGAAATCTAGCACATTTTCTATTTTTCTTTAGATTTGGAGGGAAGAAATTAAAATGTGTTCGTGCTAAAAAAAAAAAAATGTAAAAAGCTAACTGAAAATTACCATTGGGGGTTAGACTCTCTTCTTACCTTCTCATTGACTTCTTCGTGAGGGAACTCATTCCACTAGTGTGAAGCTTGTGTGGCAGGCGGTGTAGTAACAATATAAGCTCTCCTGGAGCTCACATTCCAGGGGGGGATGAAAAACGATAAACAGATTCATAATTTGTCGTACGATGAGTCAGGCGATTGTCAGATGAGGAACAACAGAGCTGAGTAAGGTGAAAGGGAGTCTGAGGGTAGGAACTGTTTTATACAGAGGTCAGGAAAGACTTCTTTAATAGGAAATCATCCGGGTAGGTGCCAAGACGAGGAAGCGATCCACCTGGATGGGATGAGAGATCCAGGCCAAGGCGGCAGCTTCGTCCCAGTGGGTTCAGTGCAGGGTGGGAGGCCAGTGTGTCCAAGTGGAGCTCTGAAGGGTTAGGGTGGTGCAGACCACAGGGTCCTAGGGTCTTGGGTCCACTGTGGAAACTTCAGCCTTGGTGGTGGCAGTGGAAATAATGAGAAGTTCTCTAACTCCAGATACATTTCGAAGGTAGACCAACAGGATGTGCTAACAAGTGGGCTGTATGTTTGAGAGTAAGAAGTCAAGGATGACCCCAAAGCTTTTAGCAGCTGCAAAGACAGAATGGTCTTTCGCTGAGACACGGTGTGAAGTCTACGGAAACTGTCTGAAGCAGAAATTAAGGTTTCTCCAGGTAGAGTCAGTGCTCGAGAGAGCTGTCAGTCATCTTAGACCCCAGTACACCCTGGCTTATAAAATGGAAACTTAAAGTCATGTGCTTTCTGGACAAAGGAATGAGGTCTAGCATCATGTTTTACTGAACACTAAACAGATGTCTGAGCCGAAGGGAAAATAGAGTTGTTCTGAAGAAGTCAACAGTCTCCTTCACCAAAGATAGGTGTGGTTTAGAGAAGCTATACTTTCCCAAAGCCATCAAAGCAGAAAGGATCAGTAATTAAACAGTGCACATATTGAATTTAAACACTGGCTGATTTTTAGTGCGGCTAATTTCAGGGTGGGAGGCGTTCGGAAGCATAATAAACACTTCGAATGAGCTGTTGTGATGTGTTAAGTGGAGAGGTGGCCACAGAAAGGAGGGCAAGCCCATCCCAGCAACAAGTAGCGGATGAGGTCTGCAGGGGCGAATCGCTGTGATCGCCGAAAGAGACTAAATTAAAGATTGTCCTCCGCGGGAGAGCTGCAATTTTCGGGAACCACATCAGTGAACACACTGCTGGATAACTGGGCTGCAAACACTCATCACGGAAACTACAGGAACATCCTTACTAATCGCCTCCTGCGTTGAGTTGTCAGGGCCTCTTCCTGAAGCACACGTGGCCCGTGGGTGCCCGCACTGCGTTGGGTAGAACAGACGCAAATCCCTGTTAGGGCTGGAGGCGGCGCAGTGGCACAGAACCGGGGTCAGAGCTGCGTCCTAAACTTGGTTCCTCTGCTGGCGCTGGGTGCGGCTTAGGTCTTTGCGGTTACGAGGCCGTTAGGTGATCTCCCGTCTCCTGTGTCGCTGACTCCATAGAACGCCCTCTGGGACTACAGGCAGCAACAGGACTTTGTATACTAAAGCCAGGCGCCATGGGAGGGTGCCAGACCTAATAATAGATGCCCAGTACGACGTCACTCGCCAGATGTGATCGCAGGGCCACTGCAGTGAGATCCCCGGCCGTCACGGGTTTCCAGGTGGCTTCTCCCTTCTTGACCCTGCGGTTTACTTCAAGTGCGTTGCTTGCGGTTTGCTTCAGCTGCTAACCCAGGCTTTGGTTTGCAGGCACAAAATGTGTGTTCCTCAAAGTGTGTTTAGGTAACTTTTGGCCCAGTTATTATGAAATGATTTATCTTTCCAAACCCATTTTGCCACGTACAAGAATGCTCAGCTGGGATCGTGAGATACCCCTTCCATGAGAAGGTTCTCTGGGGCTGGCTCTCACGCTCACCTTGGCCTGGGATGGCCACGCGACTCTCTTCCTTAATGGAGGGAACGTGTGGACGACAAGGTCTCATTCAGCAGCCGGGCTCCCCTGCACCTCGTTTATTCCGTGGGAAGTGGGATATGGATGGAGGTTGTCGTGGGCGACCCTTAAGAGCCCTTGAGCCCCTGTCCGCTTTGGATGTTCTGATTGAGGCTCCTGTTAGGTCTCTGCATCTTCAATTCCACATTCAGTAATGACGAGAACAGTACCTGCAAATGCGGAAATCAGTAGGAATGAGAGTCTTACGTGGTGTGTGGTGGGAGAATTTCAGTGAACTAGAATAGACCTAGGGAAAAAATCCATCAGTCCTAACACTCACTGTTCTCCCCCCCTTCCCCAGTTTTCTTTCTACTCTTTTTTTTTTTCCTTGCTTGAGCGTCTATTTAGCATTTATACTAGGAATGATCTGATGTCTCAGCAACAGTGACAAGATTGAGGAATTAAGAACTAAGAAAGAGCAAGGAGAGAGAGTCCCTCCTCTGTTCTCTAGCGGCATATTGAATCGAATACTGGTAGGAATCTCCACACACCAACACTGCTTAAGGAAGAGGGAAAAATGTGCAGCTTATTTCAGCTCCTGGTTTGTTTATACCTTTGAATCCCTCTGACCGCAAGTAAAGGGGCCGATGGCTTAGAGTGCTTCTGCCCATAGAAAATTAGAGCATAGAGTTGGGATGGGCAAGTGGATGAAAAAAACGATTATGGTTCTGAAATGAAGAATAATAACGTGTCCGTTTAAACCTGAGAACACGACGGTTGGGCAAAGTGTGTGTACCTTTTAATCTGATCTCAGTGTTGACGGTTGTTTGTGCCAACCTCGTGACAAATTCCTGAGAGACTGCGGCTGATCCGATAAAGCGCGTGGCACGCCTCTGATTCCGTCTTAGATATCAAGGGCAAGTCCTGTTACGTTGGGGGCAGTTTATAGGAGCCCTTTTCCTTCTGGGGCTCACCTGACGTGAGTCAGGCAGCTGTCAACAGCCCTCGGGGTGCGTCTTCACTGCCGTCTAGATCCTGCCTCTCAAGGCGAGATCACCTACTGCTACTTGACATGTTTGGTTTAAGGACTGTCTCCTCTTGGTCACACGCACCTTTGCCACCTGGGCTTGCCACAGGCAAGCTCTCGAGGAAGGTGAAGTTTCTTTGAAACCTTTGGTTTCTCGCCCTGCCTTTAATCAATCCATTTTATGTCATCTTCCGTGCAGTGCCTTACTCCCAGCCGACAATCAATCATGGTATGTTTGCCTTGTTACAAGGGTCGCTTGAATACCAGAAGGCTTTCCAGATCCATAAGATTTTTTTAATTGGAACATTTCGAGGCACCCCAGAGGGATGGTTTAGGCAAGGAATCTTTCCCCAGTACCTACTTGTCCTGGATAGGATGGTTTTCCACCTGCTGTGGGGACTGCCTTGATCTCTCTACTCCTAGACGCTTCTCCCCATCTGTCCGTATACATCTTACCCTCCTTCACCACCATGCATCCGTCTGGACAAGACCCTCCCCTGTCTTCACCACCAAACGGTCTAACTAACCACCAGCACGGCTGGACTGGCCATGCTTCAGGGTCAGTGGCCCAGAAGAATCATCCGTGGAGTATAAAAAACAGCACGTTATACACCTGTCCTCCCAGGTCTTCTTCCGTGTATGTGATTACATGGTCTTTTCCTGAGTATCATTGTTTGGTTTTTCTCAGCCTGTTTGCTTTGTACTAGACTGATCTGAACGCCTCCGTCTAGCCCCCAGTATCTCAGTGTTCCAATTTTCTATGCCTACTGTTTTGACCAGCTCTTCTCTGTATGATTAAATTTTAACGGGTATAAAGGTGTGACCATCGCCTCAGCTCCTGCCCCAGCCCAGTGCTGTCCCCTATACCTTCACGGTGACTTCAAGGGGCTTCTGTACCCTGATCCAAGGAGCTCTCCTGACCTGCCACGGCACGCAGGTTATTTCTTCGGGGGGTGTTTTTCTTGATCAACGCTACTCATTTTTAAAGCTACCAGTACATCCCTAATATATCATTTTCAAACCCATTTAAATTATTTAACGAGTTGCAGCTCCTTTTTTCGTAACTGTTTTGAGCAGACATAAATACAGCTATACGTACACTTTAGGCTGCCCACTGAATGCAAAGTACCGACGCATTTGTAATGTGGGATATAGCCGCGTCAGATACCACCTGGCCCAACCCGTACTTCCCCTGCAAAAGGGAAAGAAAGTAGCTTTGATCTGCTTTTTAGCACATAGCTGCGGTGATGTCATTGGTTATTAATATTTTTAAAAGCTTCGCCCAAGGACACACCACCACCAAGACATATTATTAGTAACACATTGAATAATTTAAAACATGCAGTAAAATTTGCCAATACAATGTATAAAACCTAGTTCGTGAAGCTTCCGCTTGAATTCTTTTTGACTTTTTTGGTCACAGAGAAAAAAAAAAAACTGCACCACCCGGTGACCCAAGATTCACACAGTTAGGCTGAACCATGATTTTATCAGCTTATATAAACTTTCTTCTAATCTTCTCACATCATGCAGCTCAACGGAGACTCTCAGGCAAAAATACAGCGCATTCTGCGGTTGATCTCTGGCGGTGGATTGTCCATCACTGGGTCACACAGCTTGTGCGGAGATTTCCTCTTCAGCGGCCACACCGTTTTGCTGACACTTACGTATTTGTTCATCAAAGAATGTAAGTAATAGCTCGTTCCCACAGAACCGATTGCCGTAGACACAGGGATCCCTAGAGCCTGAAACTGATGGGGCCCCTATTCCGTTGGGATCGGTAGCCACGAAAGAAACAGACACTTATGTTTTCAACCATTTTCAACAGTCATGTGTGATTTGAACCCTGAAGTCTTAACACCTGGCCCGGGCTTCTCTCTAGCACTTAGTCTGCCTCCAAAACATCTCCTTTCTTGGGTAGTACCTCTTAGGGCATGAAGAGCTATTTTAATATTGGAACTAAAAAAAAACCGTAAGTGTTAAGTTTCTTGCAAAAAAGGATTGGTACATTCTAAAGCCAAATGTACATGGCCTTTGAATTATTTGTATGAGACTTCCATTCTATCATTCCAAATAAGTCAGTTAATGTCTTTCCCTTTTTAAAACATTTCCTTGTCCCATTTGATTCGAATTTTGTCATTTTTCCAGCCACCTTCTGTGCTTTTGTAGGCGTCTCCATGGAACATTTTGCCAATACTGATCATTTTCTTCTTAAGAAGAAACACGGAGGCAAAGAAAGGAAAATGTTTTCCCGTGTTTATATCCTCAGTTCCCACTATGCAAAATCCTTGTGTTTTCCCGTAGCTTTTATGGCCAAAATAATATCTTGTTTATCGTAGAGTTATATTTGGTTTCAGCTGCCCAGTAGATCACATTTTTATAGATTTCTGAGCTTTTGTAAATTTAGGCCCTTTATCTTAAAATCCTTTTGGAATAACAATGCTGCTGCTTTTATGTTTGCAAAGCTGGTCAGTGTTTCCCTTCATCTTTAGTTCCAAGTTACCCTCCACCAGGGTTTTTTAGAGATTTATCTCAATTCCCTTCTCTTGGCATGTTAGAAGGGGGGAGGTCTTTGGCCGGAGACTAGTGGAAAGTGGCCTCCCCTCCCCAGCCTCCTGCTCTGCCCTCTTCCCTTAGCCCCTCATTAATCCAAACAGGCTTAGCCTGACCCAACGGCAGTGTGGACAGCAAGGGTCCCCTTCCAGCGTTGCAGAAGTGGATTCTTGCTCTCTAGATTGCTTGCGGGTTTAGGTTTAAGTTCTGCTTTAGGGGCAATATGACAACAGCGTTGAGGTTCTCTGTAATAGGTGAAGTCCTTTTTGTGTGAGGATTGTAGTTTCTGTGTCGTTTCCGTTGTAGATTTCACGTACAGACGTAGTGTAGGGAGAGTAGCGTGTTCAGCGCAGGGCCATTGCCACACTTAACTTGAAGGCACCTTCCGCTTTATTTCTACTCTCACACTCTCGGGGTGCTCGGGGGCGGGGAGACCTAGGTCTGTGTCTGCACGGCCATCAGAGATGGCCTCTTCCTTGGGTTTAGTCAGTTCATTTCTAACATCGAGTTACCGGTTCTGGGGGGTGGGCGGAATGATGTGTATGGTGTGTAGTTCTAACTTTTGCCAAGGAAAGTTCCATCTGTATGTAAGATCAGTCATTTTCTAGTCCAGAGGTACATTTGAGTCGTAGGGTCTTCCCTCTGATCTGAGGATCCCGAAACCCCATGGAAAGGGATGGGGATGAGGCGAGGAGGAGCTGCATGTCGGAGAGAAGGCGCTTGTAGGTTGAAAACTGTAGAAGTAACGGAGGGAAAACGCCAGGAAACTGTGAGTCGGCTTTCTAAATAACTGGAGACTAACAGATATTAAGGATAATAGCAAATAGAGGTAATACTTACTCTGCCCCAGGCACTATTCTAAGCCCTCGATGCAAATTACTCATTTAATCCTTGCAACCCACCCGTGGGGCGGGGTACAATTTTTCTGATAAGGAAATTCGAGCATAGAGAGTATGTCTTGCCACAGTCCACAGCTAGTACCTGGAGAGTCAGACATTCAGATTTAAGCAGCGGCAACCAGAGACTGTGCCCTTAATTTCTTACCTCTCGTTAGAATGTTTGGAAATTCAAGTTGTCTGACCTGCAGAAATGCCAGTGAATGGCCTGCTTATCTGTAAGCAGGGGTGTTGCCCGTCATGTTTCATCCCTTCCCCTCAGAGCAATAGCACATTTGTGATCACAAATCACATTTGTGATTAATTTACACTTTAATGAAGGCCACGCAGGGTGTAGAGATCTTTTTTCCCCAAGACATGGCTTTGCCTTAAGGTTTTTTTTTTTTTTTTTTTTTTTTTTTT